TCAGTAATCACCCGGAGGCTCTTGTCATGAGCTGCCAAGGCTATGGTGAGCCTCTTGAGTTTGCCAACTCCGATCTTATTAGTCAAGACCATAGTCAAAGTGGAAGTTCTCTCCTCCCTTCAGAGAAAGGTACCTTCTTCTTTGATGGCCTGTTCTTTCCACTGGGATCTCACTCACACAAATCTTTCATTTAGGTCATTATTTTTTTTTTGCCACAGTGTCTTGGCTTTCCATGCCTGAAATATTCTCATGAGCTTTTTAGCTAGACCCGAATGCCTTAAGGGCTGATTCTGAGGCCAGAGTGCTATTTAGGACATCTGCCATTCTATGAGTCTGCTGTGTATTCTGCTTCCCATGTTGGATCATTCTCTCCTTTTTGATTCTATCAGTTAGTATTAGCAGACACTAGTCTTGTTTGTGTGAACCCCTTGGTTCTTGGTCCTATCATTATGATCAATTATGAACTGAACCTGATCACGTTGACTAGTGAGATGGCATTGGTACATGCCCCCTTGATGGAATTGAATTGGAATGTCCTGGCACCTTTGTAACTCTACCATTAGGGGCACATCAGATTGAGCATGTGCCCAACTGTACATCTCCTCCCTCTCTTATTCCAACTCTTATATTTAACAGGGCTCACTTTTCAGCTAAATTTAAACACCTAAGAATAATTGTGTGTTAATTAAAGAGATCAACCAATGGTATTAATTGGAGCAAAAAGATACTAAAAGGAATAAAGTAGTAAGTTGTTCCTCAACAGTCAGGACAAGAGTTGATCCAAATGGCCAACAGACACATGAAAAAATGTTCAGGATCACTAGCAATCAGGGAAATGCAAATCAAAACCACAATCAGGTTTTACCTCACCCTGGTAAGAATGGATCACATTCAGAAATCTACCAACAATAGATGCTGGAGAGGATGTGGGGAAAAAGGGACACTAACCCACTGTTGGTGGGAACGCAAACTGTAAAGCCACTATGGAAGTCAGTCTGGAGATTCCTCAGAAACCTTCCATACTTCCCAGCCTTTCCACTCCTTGGAATTTACCCAAAGGAAATTAAATTGGCAAATAAAAGCTCTGTCTGCACCTTAATGTTTATTGCAGCTCAATTCACAATAGCTAAGACATGGAATCAACCTAAATGTCCATCAACAAAAGACTGGATGAAAAAATTATGGGGCATGTACTCTATAGAATACTATACAGCAGTAAAAAAAAAAACAATGAAATTCGGTCATTTGCAATAAAATGCAGGAATCTAGAAAACATCATGCTGAGTGAAATAAGACAATCCCAGAGGGAAAAATATCATATGTTCTCCCTGATTGGTGGCAACTAACTGAGCACCTAAAAGGAAACCTGTTGAAGTGAAATGGACACCATGAGAAACCAAGCCACTATTGATGGACTATTGGGTCATTTCTTCCTTGTTTAGAAAGCAGTAAATAGTTGCCAATTAATAGTTTCCTACATATGACTTTCATATGTTTTCTGGAGTATAGATACCTAGTGTTGCGAATTCTTTGTCAAGGGTTCAAAAGTAATTGCACATTTATTAGTAATTGCACTTTTATGTGCTTTTTTGCATATATGACCTCAAAATATTCTCCTCTCTGCACTTACATTACTTATAACTTGGAAAGTGCTCCAATCAATGACTAGACACTATTTCCCCACTTGTTTAATCAAAACTTGCCGTTTCACTTTCTTCAGTTAACAGAATGTGGTGAATGTGGCCATATGCAATTTTTATCCCAGGTCCCAAATGTCCTTGCGCTCTGCGTCTCACACTCTCAGGATCATTGCCTCTGCCGAATGAACATGCTCAATTTCAGTAGTATGAAAGACTACCTAGAGTGGAATCAGTTCAGTTTCCCTTTCTCAGCCAGTGGGCAAATATGAAATAGCCTGGTCAAGATCAGCATAACTGATCCTCAGGTGTGGACAGATGTATGAGAGGTGAGCGAAGATTAGAAGAATTGCTCAGCTGAGCTCAGCCTAAATTGCTAAACCACAGAATTGAAAACTGAATGATTGCCTCTGTAACTATTAGATTTTACATTAACAAAATGTTACTCAGCAATAATTAACTTGTATAGTATATAACTGGCAAATTCTCTTACATTGCTATTTTACCATTTTGTTATTTCACAGCAATAGATGAGAACAATTACTTCCTCTCAGGTACAAAATATATTGTCAAACTTTTGGATTTTTCCAACCTAAACAAGTAAAAAAACAGTATATCAATGTTGTTTCATTTTTCACCTCTTTTACAGTAAGTGGGGTTCAATGTAATTTCAGATGATTATGCATCCTCCATTTGTGACTTCATCAGAAACTTGGCCTTCCTGATTATGTTAGTGTGCTTTTTAGAGCACTCAGCACATCTATCAAGGGAGTAATAACAACTTTAATTCTTAATTGAAGGTAAGCTTCTCAAAGTGTTGACCTATTTATTAAGTTCCTTGTATCCTCATCTTTCTCCCAAAAATTGCTTTGTTAGAACTAATGGACATTATTGGTTTCATGAAAAATCCAATGCTCTATGAATATAAGATTGAAATAGCCTATTTACTGAAAACTTCAAAAGAGATAGATTGAAATGGTTGATTCCCCATAAGCAGTGCTCTGACCTGTGGCTTTATACAGGAACAAATCAGAAACCTGCAAATGTACATTTAATAATATATTAGTAATACATTAAATGCAAAAATCTCAAAGTGTGCATTTAATAGATCATCCTAAGGTAGTTAGAAATGCATCTTGGTGCTCGTTAGTGCTCAGAATAAATCAAAATGTGAATAATAAACATTTTGAAAACCTTAAGTTCCTCCCTTATAAATTAACTCACCAAGTTATCCAGGAAAGATACTAATATAGCAATAATGTATGCAAGGAAGTACTCATACAATGTGTTAGTTCATGATCTTGTTTACTAAAGGATAATGGCCACAAAAAGTAGGAACCATGAGCAAACACATGAATTGGAAATCCAGACCATCTGCTACATAAAAGTTAAGTGCTGGTACATTCCTGTATCTCTCTACTGTCTTGCATTTTAACTCTTATTCCAGTAGGTGGGAGCCATCTGTTTATCCACCTGTCACCTAAATAGCAGCTGCACTCTGCTATATTCATCTAAAGATCTCAAGCCATTAAATTCTTAATTGAAATATCTGAGTACTTCTGCGTTTTAAAGACATTGTTACACATGTGACATTTACACAATACCAAGGCAATATGTAGTGTAAGGAAGACTCTAATTCCTTAATAATTGTTATTTCACCCTGAAAATATCCTGATATTGACATCATATATGAGCAAGTGAAGGATTATGTAGGAAGCAAAGTGGACTCTTCAGTATATTTAATATTTTACCTAACTATATTGCCTTTATGAACATAAAGGTGTGGAGCGTCTTCTAAATCACTTTCCCAGGACTCATTTTCTTCTTTTTTTTTAATAATAGATATTATTTTTTGGACAGGTGGAGTTAGACAGTGAGAGAGAGACAGAGAGGAGAAAGGCCTTCCTTCTGTTGGTTCACCCCCAAAATGGCCGCTATGGCCAGCACGCTGCGCCGATACGAAGCCAGGAGCCAGGTGCTTCCTCCTGGTCTCCCATGCGGATGCAGGGCCCAAGCAATTGGGCCATCCTCCACTGCCTTCCCGGGCCACAGCAGAGAGCTGGATTGGAAGAGGAGCTACTGGCACAGAATCTGGCATCCCAACCAGGACTAGAACCCAGAGTGCCGGCACCACAGGCGGAGGATTGGCTTATTGAGCCACGGCACCGGCCAGGACTCATTTTCTTACTCCATATATAAGCAAGGAGAGGATCCTGTAAGTTTCTCTGTCTGAATTTTTGTATGCCTGTCTCCTGTCCCTACATTATTAGACTACCTCTGAGATATTGCAGGTTCAATCCTATACCACCACTACAGAGTGAGTCACACTACTCTGGTGTCCCACGGCATATAAATTTGTGGTTACACTCTACTGAAATCAATTAAGCATGCACTATAACTATCTCTGAAAAAAGTATAAAATATCTTAATTTTAAAAATAATTTATTGCTACAGGATGCTAATGATGGTCTGAGAATTCCATACGTCATAGTCTTTTCACCACTGGGGGTCATGCCTCCATGTTGATGAGTTCTGTCAGGATAGTTGCTAAAGACTGCCAAATGTTGGGGCAGCTATGACAATTTTGTAAACTAAAAAAAAATTAAGTTAAGCACATTGACTGATTCTCTTATATGAAGGATTTCTCTTGTATATGTGATGCCATTTGATAGCATTTTACCTAAAGTAGAACATCTTACAAAATTTGTAGTTTTTCCTCTTAAACCCTAACACTGCTTTATCAACTAAGGTTATGTAATATTTCATATTTTTGTTGTCATTTCAACAATATTCAGAGCCTATTAACTAGGAGTAGATTCTACAACAAGAAACCACTTTCTTTGTACATCTATAAAAAGCAACTTCTCATATGTTAACAATTTACTGTGAGATTCCAGCAATTCAGTCACATCTTCAGGTTCCACTTCTTATGATAGCTTTTCTATTTCTACTATTTCTGCAGCTAGTTCCTTTATTGAAGTCTTGAACCCATCAAAGTCATCCATGAGGATTGGAATCAACTTATTCCAAACTCTAGCTAACATTTTGATCTCATTCCATGAGTCATGAATGTTTCCAATGGTATCTACAATGGTAAATTCTTTCCATACAGTCTTTTTTTTTTTTTTGACAGGCAGAGTGGACAGTGAGAGAGAGAGACAGAGAGACAGAGAGAAAGGTCCTCCTTTGCCGTTGGTTCACCCTCCAACGGCCGCCATGGCCGGTGTGCTGCAGCCAGCGCACTGTGCTGATCCGATGGCAGGAGCCAGGTGCTTCTCCTGGTCTCCCATGGGGTGCAGGGCCCAAGCACTTGGGCCATCCTCCACTGCACTCCCTGGCCACAGCAGAGAGCTGGCCTGGAAGAGGGGCAACCAGGACAGAATCTGGCGCCCCAACCGGGACTAGAACCCGGTGTGCCGGCGCCGCAAAGCGGAGGATTAGCCTACTGAGCCGCGGCGCCGGCCTCCATACAGTCTTCATTTCACCTTACCAAGATCAGAGGGAATCACTATGACAGCTATTGCCTTATGAAACTTATTTCCAAAATAATAAAACTTGAAGATGGTGGTGTGATACAACAGGTTAAGGCACTGCCTGTGGTGCCAACATCCCATGTCCAGCACCAGCTCGAGCCCCAAGTGCTCTGTTTCTGATCCAGTTCCTTGCTAATATGCCTCAGAAAGCCGCAGAAGTTGGCCCAATTACCTTAGCCCTGGCCGCCAATGTGGGGGACCCTGATGAAATTCTTAGCTACTGATTTGGCCTAGCCCTGGCTGTTACAGGATTTTAGGTTGTGAACTAGAAGTTGGAAGATCTCTTTGTCACTACCTTTCTGTGTGTCACTTTGACTTTAAATAAATAAAATAACTGTTTAGGGTCTGGCATTGTGGTATAGCAAGTAAAGCTGCTGACTATGATGCCAGCATCCCATATGGGTACAGGTTCATGTCCAGGTACTCCTTTCTGACCCAGCTCCCTGCCAATGGCTTGAGAAAAGCAACAGAGGAATTGCCCAAGTATTTGGGCTCTACCACCCAAGTGAGAGATCCAGACAAAGCTCCTGGCTATTGGCTTTGACCTGGTCTAGCACTGACTGCTACAGTCATCTGGGGAGTGAACCAACAGATGGAAAATCCTCCTCTCTCTCTCACTCTCACTCTCACTATCACTCTTGCTCTTGCTCTCTCTCTCTCTCTGTCTGACTTTCCCTCTCTATCTCTGTAACTCTGACTTCAAATAAGTAAATAAGCCTTTAAAAAATAAATAAATATAAATTTCCAAAGTACAGTTTATGAATTGCATTGGCTTCCCCCCCCCATAATTTCCCTACACTCACATCCCTCCCATCTCCCGCTCCCTCTCCCATTCCATTCACATCAAGATTCATTTTCCATTATCTTTATATACAGAAGATCAATTTAGTATATATTAAGTAAAGATTTCATCAGTTTAGACCCGCACAGAAACACAAAGTGTAAAATACTGTTTCAGCACTAGTTATAGCATTACTTTACATTGGACAACACATTAAGGACAGATCCCACATGAGAAGTAAGCACACAGTGACTCCTGTTGTTGACTTAACAATTGGGCACTCTTGTTTATGGTGTCAGTAATCTCCCTAGGTTCTAGTCATGAGTTTCCAAGGCTATGGAAGCCTGTTGAATTCGTCGACTTCAATCTTATTCCGACAGGGTCATAGTCAAAGTGGAAGTTCTCTCCTCCCTTCAGAGAAAGGTATCTTCTTCTTTGATGGCTCCGTTTTTTCCACTGATATCTCACTCGAACACTCGAAGAGATCTTACATTTAGGTGTTTTTTTGTGTGTGTGTGTTGTTGTGGTTTTTTTTGCCAGAGTGTCTTGGCTTTCCATGCCTAAAATACTCTCATGGGCTCTTCAGCCATATCCGAATGCCTTAAGGGCTGATTCTGAGACCAGAGTGCTATTTAGGACATCTGCCGTTCTATGAGTCTGCTGTGTATCCCACTTCCCATGATGGATCGTTCTCTCTCTTTTTGATTCTACCAGTTAGTATTAGCAGACACTAGTCTTGTTTGTGTGATCCCTTTGACTCCTGGACCTATCAGTGTGATCAATTGTGAACTGAAATTGATCACTTGGACTAGTGAGATGGCATTGGTACATGCCACCTTGATGGGATTGTATTGGAATCCCCTGGCATGTTTCTAACTGCACCATTTGGGGAAAGTCGGCTTGAGCATGTCCCAAATTGTACATCTCCTCCCTCTCTTATTCCCACTCATATTTAACAGGGATCACTTTTCAGTTAAAATTTAAACACCTAAGAATAATTGTGTGTTAATTACAGAGTTCAACCAATAGTGCTAGAACAAAACAAAGAAAAAATACTAAAATGGATGAAGAATTACATTGTACATCAATAGTCAGGACAAGAGCTGATCAAGTCACTGTTTCTTATAGTGTCCATTTCACTTCAACAGGTTTCCCGTTTGGTGCTCAGTTAGTTGTCGCCGATCAGGGAGAACATATGATATTTGTCCCTTTGGGACTGGCTTAATTCACTCAGCATAATGTTTTCAGATTCCTACCTCTTGTTGCAAATGACCAGATTTCATTGCTTTGAAAGCAAAAATTACTCCTTGATCCATGGACTGCATGATGCATGTTAAGTTATTAGGCATGAAAATAACATTAATCTTATTATATACTTCCATCAGAGCTTTTGAGTGACCAGGTACATGGTGAAAAGCAGTAATGTTTTGAAAGAAATTTCTTTATGAATAATAGGTCTAATCAATAGTTTTTAAGCTTTTAATAAAGCATATTTTAAGCAG